AAAAATTTATCTTTGCTGCATAACTTTTAGTTTGGTCCAAAAAAAATTTCAAAAAAAGCAGTTGATGATTCAGTAACATCACTTTATCTTCTTGTAACTCATGAAACACACCGACATATGTAAGACAAGTATAAAAGTTGCGAGATCTATCATTTAAAAAATAAATGTTTGTATACAAGTAAATTGCAATAACACGATTTGTTTGGATTATGTTTATATGCAAATTGGTCTAATTTCATAGTAATAACTGATATGGTTGTAGTTAATTTTTTATATAATTCTATATTTTTTTCAATTTCGTGCTGAAGTTCTTTTTTTAAGTTAATAATTTTTCTTTTTAATTCTTGATACTCTATTATAAAACGAGGTTTAGCATTAAATTCAAGATAATATGATGGATCATTGTTTGAAAATATTGTATTATTTACATTTATTAATACAAGTCTTAGAGCATTGTAGCTTGAGTGCTCTGCCAGGTAAACTATTTGAACATACTCATTTTATATTTTACGGTAAATAATTTATTATGGCGCGAAAATGTAGGAGTTGAACGGTTAATTAGTTTTCTCTATATTTTTTCTGAGCTGTGGTTGTTTTTATATATCTGTGTGTGAAATGATAATGGATAACGAATGCTTATTCATATAATAGTTTGCAGTTTCCACATTTCTAAATTGTACTCATAATTTTTACAATCAATGACAGCGCGAGTTTTTGATCTCTTGAAATTTCGGTGGAGGTGCACTTGATTCACGATGTTAGGGGAGGGTGGCATATCTTAGTTGATTTCAATTAAAAAACGGCTCAAATAAATCATCGTTTTATTTATACGTGAATCAAGTACATCTCCCTTAAAACATCTATATATGGTATAGGCTCAGTATTTACATTTTTTCCCATTATAAACCTCTATAACTTAAACCGTTGAAATAATGTTTGTTAACGTTTTTACTTCCATTTTTGCGCGCGCATAAGTTTTATATCGGAACTGTGAAACGGTGTATTCTAAATGCAGTAATCATGAAAAATACTAAAAATGTGCAAAGCAGTTTGTCAATCATTACAAATAATACCAGTATGTGCAGAAAATACTAATCCATGGTCACTAAGTGATAAAAAATAACCTTCTGATTGAGATGTTTTTAAAAGAAAGACGGGATTCCAAAAACAAAAACTTTAGATCTTTTGAGAAGTTCTTTACAAGAAAGAATCAAAAACCAAAAACATAGACCCAATAACCAGGCTCTTCTACTCCTTGAATTCAATTATAAGCTCACTGAGAAGAGACCTAGGATAAAAGCGTGAGTTGAAATTTCCAGAGGGTACAAATTTCATAAATAAGTGAATATGAACTCTAGTTAGATGAATAATCACTTCTTCTTAGAGTATTTGTTTTGGAAGGCATAGGTTTATGAAATAAGTTTGTGGTATAGCAAACATGCGGGTTATTATATTTAAGAATAATCTGCAATCAAAAAAAGACATGTTAGGGTTATTTTAGATAAATTTAAGTACTGTTATTCACCATACAGTTTCATATATTTAGTACACAAACTTACATTCATAAAAAAACTTTACTCCAAATTTTAGCGTTCAACTAATTCGGCTTCCCCAGCTGTCTTCAATGGTATGGTGTTTCATTACTTTCTATTTGTATTGCCTTCCTGTGACAGTTGTTGGAATAACAAATTGTTAACAATAACAGCTTGTTGATAGAACCCAGTAGGAAAAAGACGTCGAGCCGTTGTTGTAATTTGGTCGCGACGCAAGTTAACTAAATTCCAACGATGTTCCAACGTCAACACAACGGTGTTATTTTAACGTTTGTCTATCAAACATTAGAACAACGTCGAAAAAACGTCATCATCTAACGTCTTTTCAGTCAAAAAATAACGTTTGCCTATTTATTATATTGCCTATACATCATTTAGCTCAAATATAACATTGTTGCAACGTCATTTTTACATCGTTACAATAACGTTAGCAAAATGACGTTTTTCCGCTGTTTCATTTATAACATTATGTCAACGTAAAAAAAAACCAAGTATAATTGTATTTCTGAAAGTGTCTTATAAAGTTTTTAAAATTCTATAATTTTCTACATTTCAAGTAGAATGATCATATTTGACATCTAATTATATGTAAAAATTCCTATAATTTCGTTTTAGCTAAAAATCGAAAATTGCAGATGCCGTATCATATGATAATTTTAATGTAATATACAAAATATTACATTAAAATTACCATATGCATTATTACATTAAAATTACCAATTTGTTAGAATATTGATTTATTATATATATATATATATATATATATATATATATATATATATATATATATATATATATATATATATATATATATATATATATATATATATATATATATATATACATATATATATATATCTGCTGTTCAATGAAGGTTACCTATTGAAATAAATTTTATCATGGCTACACCACAGCCATCACAGTTTGATTTACCGTGACTTATTGCAAAGAAACACCATGCACATTTTATAGCAAAGTTTTGCTTAAGGTAGCATATATCTATGATGTGTTTGCAGTTTATTGACCAGCATAACATTTTTATTTTAATCATTTTTTCTATAAATGAAAAGCATTTAAAAATAAGAAAGATCTAAGCAAATTACGTGGTGTCTGCCTCAAACTTTTTTAAGTTTTCTTTTTTAAGTTTCTTTCATAAAGACGTATTTTCGCTTACAAATAGATCTTTTTAAAAAATTTGTTAGAGTATTGATTTATTATTATTATTATTATTATTATTATATATATATATATATATATATATATATATATATATATATATATATATATATATATATATATATATATATATATATATATATATATATATATATATATATATATATATATATATATATATATATATATATATATATATATATATATGCATATATGTTTAGTAAAAACATAAATCTTGCAACTGGAGGAAAGACTGCTCCTGCTTAAGTGCACAGAGACCGATCACCTGCATATAAGAAGTGAAACCATTATAAACTTGAAAATAAATTATGGCCTTCCAAGTTGTGGAGTGTTGAGAATAATAAAGGAGACGATGAAAAGATGTTGAAAGATTCGAAATAATAGAAAACACGTATGTTGAAATTAGGAACAGGTCACAATTAGGAACACGCTTTACAAAGTCATATGCGAATAGCTTAGGAGTGGTAAAAACTATTTAAAAAAAAATATTGTATGTTGTACTGACACATCTTTGCTAATAATTAAAGTGCTTTCCTTCAAGCACTTTCCAACTCCTGTAACTCAATTAATTGAACTTTTCTCAACTTCTGACCTCAATCTCATAAATATCATCTATGGATAATAAAAGTACCTAATTTTTTGAAATATTTAGATAGAGCGCAGTGTAAATTTAAATAATATACAATGAAATGCACATGTTGCTATTTTGATGAGTTATTAGATAAGAAAAAATTTTGAAGGACTTTCGGATCATTAGCAAATGACCTCAACAATCCATGCTTTGAGATCAAATCTCAAATACAGATGCAATATTACAAAAATGTTATAAATTCTGCTAGATGCAAAATTCACTGAGGTGTCTAATCTAATCGTCTAATCTAATTATTTAGCCAATGAAAATATTATTTATTTAACAGAGTCAAGGGTGCGTTGTTTTGAAGTCCGCCATTTATTTTATATATTTAATTAAAATTACTGCAACTGATTGTAGGTAGTCACGCTCTAGTCAGTTTTTAATTTTTTTTGATTGATATAACAACATTAGACTCTAGTTTGACATTGTTGCAAAAGTCAATAAGAAATAAAATTTTGTGCCACACAACTGGCATTATGATGCAGGTAAAGGTACTGATATAAAAAATTACTCCACGAATCTTCTTCCTAGTGTTTGGAGAAAGATTTAGCTGGAGCAAGTCTTCCAAAGCCAGTTTTACTCCTGGAAGGTGAGCTACAAATGTTTTGACACTCTCTATTTGATCTGATCACCTGGCGCCAGATATGTTGTGAAGAAAATACCCAGTACGTTTAGACAATATTTTCCACCTCTTTGGACTACAACTGAATAAGATGTATACCGTTTGCATAGTTCCAAAGTAGGTTATGGCTTCCAGAATACATTCAGCAGCATCATTACCACATAAGTTAAGTGTGTGGCAGTCACAAGAAGAAAACGTAGTAGTAGGACGCGCTACTTTTAACATTGCTTGTGCTCCCTAGTTTTGGCCTAACATGTCTGGCGCATTGTAATAACTTTGAGCCCTACAATCAGCGAGTGATATAGCCTTACTTTCTAACGTTTTTGTAATGATTTAAGCAATTTCAGAAACAATTTCAAAAATAGTTTTACAATTTCATATTGCGCATAATGGCGAACTAGGTAATGTAAAATAAATATTGTTTGCTCAACATGTGATGAATCTGTTGTAGAATCTACAATTATTACTTTGCCGAATGTTTTTCTTCCAAAACGTGGTGCTTAACAAGATCAAAACATTCCTCAACAAACTTATTTTAGGAATCAATTGAGTGGTAAATTACTTGCAACTTTTGTCTTTTTTAGTGGCTCAGCTACTTTTAGAACATGTTTCTTTAGAATAGGGTCCTAATTAGAAAACAACTCTATCAGACCTAAAAAGTCTTCATTATTTGAGTCACCACTGCGTTGCAAAGACCCCAATAAAGCAATGCTATGTTCTCTTAATAAAAGGATAAAACCGAAATTTCCAGAGAAGTTTTTCTTTTTATCTTTAAAGATAAAATTGAAAAAATTTTTTAAAGTTTGCTACAATCAAAAAAAAGAGGAAAATAAAAATAAAAAAAGCTTATTAGCATTTTCTTTTACAGAAGCTAATTTCAAATATTACAATTTTATTAAATTCTTAGTGAAACTTTTTGCTTTATCATGAAGTATAAAATAAAATCTAATTCCAAAACAAATAACTTAAGGTAATTTTTATATCTTATCTTTAGGAAATGTAGTGATTGTTCGAGGTTTGCTTGCAGTCTGTATTTTTGTTCTATCCTTTGGAGTTCTGGCACCTTTAATTTTAAGTCCATTTAAAAGAAGACTGAACATGAACATTACCTCTGCAACGTCGTTCGTAGCAAGTATCATTTTTTGTATTATTTCAGTTTCAAAAGACGATGTAAAATATTATTTTTTATAGATCTTTATAGATTTATAGATCTAACTCCCAGGCTACTTGATTATATTGTATTTTTACTACCTGATTATTCTGTACTGAATACGTCATTTTTTTATTATTACTGCAATTATTTTTTTTGTAGTATAACAACTATGGTTTCAAATTTTTATATTTCATATTTAGTTATTCTGAAAGTTGGAGCATTAGCACTTTATTATGATGATAATCCCGTGCATGCAGATTTAAACTTTCATTACACTTTGGGATATTCATATATGCTTGCGTGGTTGAGCTTTTCGCTTATAATTTTTGCAACAACACTTTCTATTTTATCACGCAAAGAAGAAGGCCATGTAGGTTAAATACATAACTATATATATATATATATATATATATATATATATATATATATATATATATATATATATATATATATATATATATATATATATATATATATATATATATATATATATATATATATATATATATATATATATATATATATATATATATATATATATATATATATATATTTATAATTGTTTTGATAAATACCGGTATAGAGTGCTCAAGTAGAGCGAGTTATATTCTGTAAAATTAAATAACTACACCTGGTAGTTAAAGAAACATGACCTAGAGCCTTGAAGTCTAATGGTTATCAAGAAATAATTTTTTATAAATCAAATCATACCACAACGAAATCAAAAACAAGATCACGTAACATTATTTGGTTTAACCCTCCTTTATCCCTCTAACGTAAGAACAAATGTGGCAAGAATTTCCTTAAAATTAGTTAATAAGCAATTTCCGAAATCTCATAATTTTTATAAAATCTTCAACAAAAACAACTTAAAAGTAAGTTGCAGGTGTTTTCCTAACATCAAAAAATTATGAATGCTCTCAATAAAAAATATTTATCTGGTACTAACACCTCAACTAACCAACAATGCAACTGCCGACAAATTTCCCAATTCCCTTTGGAAGAAAAATGCCTCCAAAAAATATAGCATACTGCTGTGAAGTCAAACCTTCACCACAAGATAGCGGATTCAATTATATCGGTCTAAACAATAATATATTTAAAGACTATTGGTACAAACACAAAAAATCATTCCAATACCAAAACAAAGCAAATTCAACAGAGCTTTCCAAGTTTATGTGGGAAATTAAAAAAAGGAATATACAAATCCCATTATAACATCGAAATCTATTGATAAAGCACAACCGTTTAAACCCTGGAGGAAAATTATCCAACCTTTGCTTAACTAAAAAGTACCACATAACAACATCAAAATTAAAATTATGAAACAAAAGAATTGAACTAGTATCAAATTGTCGCCACGAAAAAAAGTTGTCGTTAAGATTATTTGTAATATCTGATGATCGCCATAAACGTGAAACTTGGAGTCATATTCCTTGAATTACCAGGTATTATCATTAAATTTTACAATATATATATATATATATATATATATATATATATATATATATATATATATATATATATATATATATATATATATATATATATATATATATATATATATATATACAGGGGCGTGTCTAGGGGATGTCGAGCAGACATGCCCTATTATTTCGCAATATTGTTTAAATTATTATTTAGCCATATTGTTTATCCTTTATAGGAATCATGTGAATCCCATTTGTTTTCAAAGATTTCTTAAGTTATAAAAGGATTTTAAATAATTTTTTTACCTTTTTTTACACAACCACTGCTTTTTTTTAGTACTAAACATTCTAATATAGACAAAGAAAAAATTTGTTTATTTAGTGTTTTAATAAAAGCTATTACTAATTTTTCATTGGATGTTATGAACTGTGAAACTGTGGCATAGATACTTAATAAAAGTTTTCTATTGCTGTGGTTATCTGTCTCAAAGAATGTCCTTAAATATTAATAGAACATTTAATCGTGCAAACTCTGCTACTACTTCTTTATCTGAAGTTAATAACAAATTTTGATTTTATTCTTGCTCTGTGTATAACATGATTTGTTTTTAGTATAAGTTTTTTTAACTACACAATTGTACAAGCAAGTAATAATGATATTTTTTTATAGTTTGAATCTAATTCAAGGATTAAAAGATATTGTCTCCATACTTAGAATTATTGTTAACCAACATCTCCAAATGTGCTTTGAACAAGCTTAAAAGTTGCATTTGAAATTATTTTAAATTGGTAATCACTGTTAATTTTGCTAGACCATCTAAGTAATGCGTTTAACACAATTCTTGATGATACAACTTCAAAGTGTTTTAAAGCACCTGTGTTTTAGTTTCTTTGTTCTAATCTTCAGTTTCTTCTAAAAACAGTTGCAGAAGTTCAGTGTTCTTGTTTTACTTGTTAAAAAGACCACATCATATTTTTAAGTGCTTTTTATTTAACCAAAGGCTTTATTAGGTTTATTTGTTATTGTTGAACTAAAGGTTTTATTACGCGAGTTTAACCTGTGGGAAGTTTAGTTGAATTTCACTTTACTGTCTGAATTGCAAAAATGAACTCCAGTCTATTAATACTTAAAGATTGCAAGCAGCATACCTTTTCTTTTCTTAAGTACCTTTTACCTTTTCTAAGGCACCTAAAAGGTTATAAAAGAGTAGTAAGAAGAAGTTGCGAAGTAAAATGGTAAATAAAGTCTAAATGATTTAGTTTAGCTTTTAAATAAAATTCAAATAAAATAAAAGTATAATTTCAAAAAACGTCTTAGCTACCTTTTGTTAAACAGCTATTTTTATAGCCAGACATCTTTGTAAACATTATTTTGCATTGTACAGTTATTAAAATAGGTTTTTTGACTTGGTCAGTATTTATAAAGTTTATTTATAATTAAAAGTTATTCATAAAATAACAGGTTATAATTTTTTTAAATACAAGAAAAATATTGTATTTAAAAATTATAACCTGTATACATTAGGTAAACTGAGTATTTTCAAAAAAAAAATTTATTTGCAAAAATCATATTTCTAGCTTTAGTAACCATTTTAGCAATGTCATAAGTTATTTAATATATATATATATATATATATATATATATATATATATATATATATATATATATATATATATATATATATATATATATATATATATATATATTATGTAAAAACTAAACAATTATAATACTCGATTTATTTCAAACTCAACTCGAAGTTTCATGCAAAATTGTGATCATCAGATGTTACAAATCTTAAAAATGACAACAAAAAATATATATTTAAAGTACTGTGGAGTGTCTTTTTTGATGACATAAAAATCATTGATTATGTACTTATTTTCATGATGGCACTAAGAGGCAAGTTCATTTCGTTTGTTTAACAAAAGCAATGGTGATGAAGTTATATGATATTTCTCCGTCAAGCATAACTTACACAGTTAGCCATCATGCTTAAATGGTTAACCTTGTACTACAATTTTCCACTAAAGGACAGGATTTAAACCCTATTTTTTAATACTCCACACAAATTTGGAAAGCTTGGTGGATTGTTTTTATTGTAATTTGCTTTACTTTCATAAAGAAAAGAATTTTTATGTTTATAAAAACGATCTTATAAGGTTTTTTCTGTAAGACCAATGTAATAGATGCCTTTATCTTGTGGGCTTGTTTTCACATATATAAATGATATTTTTACTTAACCACTTTCCATTAAGTGGACATATTCAATCAGCTGAGAATAACATGATAGAGGATTAAGGTTAGAAGAATTTGATAACATTTTATTGTTGTGTAAAGTGATAATATTCCGATTATTTGGAAGACAATTATAGCTAAATTTAGGTTATTTCGGTTAATCAGTTTATGGAACTTATGATTTTTTGGGAGGCTTATATCGATTATATTTAGGAAAAGTTTAGTTCTGTTTGTCTTAAAGGTAATTGAAATTGAAAACGGAGGGTTAAACCAAACAATCTTTTGTGGTCGTGATTTTGCGACTTTTTTAAGTTGTTGGGAAGGGCAGTAATGTATTCGTTAAATTAAAACTAAAGCTAGAACATGTTATTTGCACTTTTACAACTCATTTATATTTTTAGCAAAAATTATCATCTTAAAAATGTAGTTTTTATTGTATCATTTATCTTCCATAAAAAGTAAAGGTTTATTAAAGGTGTTACTAAGTCTACTAAAGCTTGCTCTAATTACATTAATGTTAGCTCAAGGTAAGTTCCATTTAAAGTTTGGTGTTATATTTAAACAATCTATTTGAATAATTTGAATAATAAAAACTTGAATATCATTGACCGGTTAGAACGTCTTGCTATGAGCATTCATTGGCGTTAAAGACCACAAATAGAATTTAGCCAATATCAATGACCAAAAAAACAGCTTGTTCATAATTTCTTAGTTCCTCAATTATGGAGTATAGTAATCAGAAAAGACATCAAAACGCTTGCAAACAAAAATAATTTTAAATCAAAACTAAAAGAAATAATTTTAAATAATCAAAACATGCAAGACTTCTTATTGAGTTAAATTTAATTATTGGTTTTTAATATTGTATATTATTTTTTCGTTTGAGATTTAAAAAATTTGGTTCTTTAACAGATTATTATTCTTTTTTATTTTATATTTTCTCATTATATATAAACAAGTTTTTCTTAACATTTTTAATTCTTTATATTATATTTCCTAATTCTGAATTCTTAATTGTAATAACTGAAAGCTTTTATGTATAATTTTGAATATTTTTTTCGTTTGTTTGTTTTTCATTTTTTGCATTGAGTTTATTTATTATTGAATTATAATAAATTTTTGAATATTCATATTAAAATATGTATTATCTTTTTTTTTTTTTTTTTTTCTTTTTTAATTTTTATATTTGAAAACATTTTTATAAGTTTCTAATGATTATATGATTAACGGTTTATTAGGGGTTTGGTGATGAAGCTATTTTGTCTTTTTCTTACCCCTCCATTCGTATATTTTACAAATACAAAAGTTGCTTTAATTTTTATTGGCAAATTTTTTTTTTTTAGATTTCACGCGAAAAATTTTAATCAAATTTCAGATAAGACAATTGACATTATTTACCATTCTAGAAAATCCTTACTTTTTAGAAAAAATGATATGTGGGTTAAAAAATCAGGAGATTACGATTTTGGCGTTACAGTGGGAAGCTTTGACAAAACTGAGTTATGTGAACTGCTATGCTTTTTATTTTATTTACCATTAGCAAAGAATACGGATTAAATAACAACGGTTTAAATAGATTGACGGACTTTGCCGTTTTTATAATATTAGCGAAATACAATAAGAAATGAAGAAAAACCTCAGTAATCTTTTTAAAGCAAAATTCAAGGTAAAATTTTTTATAAAAATTAATTTTAACACTATCAACTACTTTGCCGTTTCGCCTGTCTAACAACTCTTTCAGTCGTATAGAAACCAGGTAAAAAAAAAAAAAAAAAGGTAAAAAGCGATGTAAAAAAAAAGGTAATTAACTAGGTAAAAAAAAGGTAAATAACCAGGGAAAAGACAAAAAGGAAAACCAGGTAAAAATCCGTAACATATCAATTTTATTTCGAATCATCCTCCGAATATTCCTAAATCTATTCCCCTTATGATAACTAATTATATAAGAAATATTCACTCAAGTAAAGAAAATTTTTTATCGAGCCGCTTCTTTTTATGATATGCCCTTAAGTTTAATGGGTTAAAAGAATACATTACTGCCATTAGCGAAAACAATACAAAAGTTACAAAATCACGAAACATTATTTGGTTTAACCCTCCGTTTTCAATTTCAATTAACTTCAAGATAAACAGAACCAAACTTTTCCTTAATACAATCGATATAAGCCTCCCAAAAAATCATAAGTTTTATAAATTGCTTAACCAAAATAACATAAATTTGGATATAATTGTCTTCCAAATATTCGGAATATCATCTTTTCACACAACAATAAAATGTTATCAAATTATTTTAACCTTTATCCTCTATCATGTAATTGCCAGATGATTGAACAATGTCCACTAAATGATAAGTGATTAAGTAAAAATATCATTCATATATGCAATGTGAAAACATGCCCACAAGATAAAGGCATCGATTACATTGGTCTTACGGAAAAAACCTTTAAAGACCGTTTTTACAAATATAAAAATTCTTTTTTATGTTTGTAAAAACATAAAAAAGTAAAGCTAATTCATTCAAGGTTCTAAATTTGTGTGGAGTATTAAAAAGAAGGATTTAAATACTGTCATTTCGTAAAAAATTTCAGAAAGCCTGAACGGTTTGAACCTGGTGGAAAATCGCGTAACTCATGCTTGATGGAGAAACACCGTATTATTTCATAACCGTTGCCTTGGTTAAACGATCGTAATGAACTTGCGTCTAAGTGTCGTCATGAAAATCAATAAAATAAAAGAAGACACTCTACAGTATTTTTAATATATTTTTTTTCTTTATTTTTAAGTTTTGTAACTTCTGATAATTGCAAATTTGCTTGAAACTCCAAATTATGTTTGAGATAAATCAAGTATTATACTTATTTACCTTTTACTATACAGAGCCGTAACCACAATTTTGAAATTAGGGGGTCAATGGTTTTTTGAATGGAGGGAGGGTATAAAATTTTTGTTAAAAACATATGCTTTTTCCTAATAATTATCTTTTAACATTTTTTTAAATTGGTCGGATTGGCCAGGAAGTTTGGGGGTGATTTTTCCCATAGGGCCCTGCTATGACTAAAAGTCCTGGGTTTTACTATGAATCAAGGTGCACAAGCAAAATACGCAAAAATACAAATTAGTAATAACTATTCATTGCTCAAATGCATTGATTTTTCAAAAATAATACAATAAATATAGTAGTTAATTCTATGACTAAAATATGTAATGTTTAATAAAATATACAAAGATATCGTTAAGAAGCCTTATTTATTATTTATTGGTGGTAGACTAAATTATCTTGATTAAGATACTAAAAGATTAATTTGTCGTTTCGCTCAGCCTGTCTAACAACTCTTTCAGTCGTATAGAAACCAGGTAAAAAAAAAAAAAAAGTAAAAAACCAGGTAAAAAAAAGGTAATTAACTAGGTAAAAAAAAGGTAAATAACCAGGTAACCAAGTTTGTTTTTTTTTGGTGGTTTTGTTAAAAATAAAGTTATAGTATGGAATAGTTAAGCAAAGTAAAGTTAAGTAAAGATTTTTCAGAACGTAAAACTGTTCCTATGCCAACTTAGCGAAACATTCGTTTTAGAATAAGAATTAATTTAGGTACCCATAAATGTATACTGATTCTTTTAGTGTCAAATTTTAGACAGTTTTTTTAGTTGGCATGGTTTTTAATGTTTAACAGTGTCTAGAAGTTGTTGCCGAGTGTATCCATTTTCCGTAAAAATGTTTATCAAAAATCTCATATTTTTTCTATATAATCACCCCTATATAATTATAATTATAATTATAATTTATAAATCTCCTATATAACTATACATATAATACATAAAATAATTATAAATATACCTCTATAATTCTATATAATGCACATAATATTATATCTTATATTAGTGATTTATAGTATATATACAGTATTGAATGAAACATTTGCAACCAACATCGAACAATGCTAAAAGATGTTCCTAATTTTACTTGTCTTAAAAACGAAACGAACTATACTACCACAGCAAACAGTTCAGGAATCTGGAGTCATAGCATGCCATGATATGAGCAATCAGCTGACAGGTGACAGCACACAGGCAGAATTTCGTTGACAAGTGCCATTTTGCAGCGGAAAAAACAAGTGCAACATTTTTGGTTTGTTTTATTTTTCTTAAATCTGGACCGTGTCAACGTCACGGAAGTTTTTTAATAATTAAAGGAAGTATCCAGAAGTTTTCAGAAGCATGCAGAAGCATGCAGATGAATTCCAGAAGTTTCCAGAAGAAGCATCTGGAAGCATCCACAAGTATCCAGAAACATTCAGAAGCATCTAGACGCATCCAGAAGCTTTCAGAAGCATCTAGAATAGTTTCACACAGGTTCATTTTACTATATAAAAGACATGTAAACCGACATGTAATTCAGTCAGTATATAAAAGTCAATCAGTCAGTATTATCAAGACAGTTTATCGAAGTGAGTTTTATTAAAGTGTTTTATCGAAGAACATCAATACAAGAAGTGAAATACAACAAGTATTTCATTACATCAATACAGTCCACATCCAACCAAGACGTTGTGTTTCACAGAGCATTATTACATCATCACAAGGTAAATGTAACACGGTAATCACCCCTACATAATTATAATTATAATTATAGTTTATAAATCTCCTATATAACTATACATATAATACATAAAATAATTATAAATATACCTATATAATTCTATATAATCCACATAATATTATATCTTATATTAGTGATTTATAGTATATATACAAGGTAAATGTAACACGGTAAGCCTTGAGAAGCGTGATTATTTATTTTTATTATTTTTATGACTTCAAGTGCAAAAATGGCTCTCGACAGTCTTGGATTGGAACTAAGAAAGAAAATTATTGGCAATTACGTAAGTGAAATGTCAAAAAAACGTTTTTGTGATAAATATCGCGTGAAAAAATTAAGACTATGTTTCAAATATTGTTCTACGGGGAGGTTGGCAGCAGATAACAAAGGTGGAAGACCGCGTTCCACCACTTTTAGAGAGGATTCTATGATCGTCATATCCGTCAAGAAAGATCCCTGGGATATTATCATTTGAGATACAAAAGCAATTAGACCGGACCGAACAATCAGACGACCGGATCTCAACCCTATCGAGAGCCTGTGGGAGATCGTCAACCGCAGAATTAATTGTGAAGGTGTTTGTAATAAGGAACAACTGTTTAAACTAATCCAAAAGGCCTGGGCAGCGATTCCACAAAGTTTCATTGATCACCTGATCGAATATATGCCTCGAAGATACAAGGCTGTGATCGACAACAAAGGATTCGCCACAAAATATTGATAGCGAAATACAGCTTGGTCAACATTTTGTGGAGTTGCACTTGTTTTGCCCAGAAGGAAATCAACTTTTTTTAATACTTTTAAATAATTTATTAATTTTCGTGCACAAATGATGAACTTTGTGATTAATAAAACTTAAATAACGTTGTCTCTAAACAGTTACATAGTTATTTCTTTAAACTAAAAAAATGCAGCACTTTTATATAAAGAAACTATATTAACATTATTTGGTTAGACTTGTTTTGTCCGATACTGTAAGTATATTAGGAGCAAAACTGAAAAACCTATTTAACATTATTTCCATTCAGAGGCGTAACTACAAGTTTATATCCCTTCACCTTCCTCCGCAAAAAGGTGACCGGGCTCTACCAATTAATTTTTTAACTAATACATCTGAAAATGAATTATGCAATACTTGATTTCAATATCAAGTTAATAAAACACGATTAGGCAAATAAGTAATATTTATTTTATAAATTAGAAAAAGATCCTAGATTCTCTTTTCCAAATAATTGTAAAAAAGAACGAACATTGGAATTATGATTGTGGAAAACATACTTAATATCAAAAACGTTACCTCACCAGTGACTTTACGTCACCAGTGACTTACCATAAGTGACTTTACCTCACCAGTGACTTACCATAAGTGACTTTACCTCACCAGTGACTTACCACCAGTGACTTTACCTCACCAGTTTATGTTGTTTACATTGTTTATTTTGCCGAGTATTTTTGTGTATTTTTTATAATGTCGTGTATTTTTGTGTATTTTTTATATTGTCGTGTATGTTTTGTTTATACAGTTGTATAATTATGTGCACCGTTTATATTGATGTGTATATTGTTTATACTGTTTATATTGTGTATTGCATTTCTTTTGTGGTGTTGTAGCTAATTATTTATTGTATTGTTGCTTTTCATTATGTTGTTATTATTCAAGTGATTTCACATTTTTTATATATACGTTGTGTTTCTCATTTATTCATTATCTCTCATATCAGCTCATTCCCTTTTTTCTTTTTTTATATTATTAGTCTTGCTTTTTTAATAGTTATGGTTTTTTTTTTCATTGATTTTTTTTTGTCATTATCTATTTGGTTGTTTGTTTGGTTTTTGCTAAATTTGTTTATTTTACTATAGTGTCACTCGCAGAGTGATATAATAAAACCTATTTTGTAAAACTCTAAATAAATTTGTAATTTTTTCAATTTTATGGTTAAATAAATAGATTTAAAAAAACATTATTGAGAAATAAAATAATTTTTTGACTTTGTTTTTTTAATTTTTAGATTCAAATTCAATTCTCGAAATGCGAAACACTTTCATGCAGTTCATTAAGACTTAACGAATGCGACCAAGTGATTTCAATGCGGACACTATAGCTTGTAGCAAATATTTTTCACCTTAAAGCCATTAAATTATAAATAATTAAATTATAAAATTTATCAATTAAAAATTTTTTTCTTCAAAGATTTTTATATATACTAACGATGGTTGTTGAAAAAATAGCTTTTTTTTTTTAATTTAATGACTTCTTAATTTTGTCTCAATAATTTAATGAGCTAGTAGATATTTTTCAGCTAAACAATGTAGCATTTCATTATTCTGATTATCACCTAAACAAAAGAAAAAATTCTATGGAATTTTAGAGATTTTTATTTGCATTTGACAGGCAAATACAAAGTAAATACAATCTCGCTATTATAAAAAATTTAAATTTAATTTAAATTAAATTTAAAAGCCACTGCTAAAAGTATGTTACCCGTTTTAAGAGACTTTCAGTTAAAATTTTTACTTTTTATTCAATAACACTTTTTAGATAGCAGACATGTTGGGCAATATAAATTTTTTATATTTTGACAAAAAAAAAAACAATAATTCTTTAAATTTTAAACGAAAAATAAATTTGGAAAATATTAAATCAAGAATATTTTGCTAATATGACTGAAATAGGGATTTAAAAAAATCTAAAAATAAATGTCTTGCTCAAAAATGAATTAGTAAGATATGAAGTTAATGAAAAAAACTTATTTCCACATACAAAGTATGAATCTGAGCGTCTATATCACTAGACTGTGAAAACATTGTGCTCGTTTTTTGATTTACTTAATATAAAGTTCTATTTACTTTTGCAACGAGAAACCTAAATACCATCTTTTTGAACATTAGAAAAGGCTACAGATCTTTTTTCTAAATAATCTTATAAAAGATTTCAAAAACAAAAACGATATGAAAATATTTACAACATAAATAAAAAGTTTAATTACAAAACATAAAATTTTCACAAAAACTTCGTGGAATTTAAATTCACACAATTAAAATTTAAAGTTAGGGTTGAGGCAGCATTGTGGAATTTAAAATAACACAATAAAATTTAAAATCAGGGTTGAGGCAGGATTAAACAATTCTTATGGGCACAAGTGTGTTTCGATGCAGGTGTATTTAGGTTCACTAAAATACATTTGTTTACAAAATAAAAATACTTAAAAAATTAAAAAGTAATACCTGTTCCACCATTTCTACAAACATTATTATGTTCATAACATTCAAACCTGGTTGAATGTTATGAACTTTGTTTTTTAATGACGTTTCAAGAAAACGTTTATTCATATTTATCTCGATCCATTTTACATTCACACTCTTACTTTGTTATTTTTCAAAGTTAATTTTAAAGTTATTTTTTGTATTTATGAGTATGATAGCGGATTATATAGTACTTTCAGTTTAGCTTGTTTGAATATAATATACAAAAAAGTTATCTAATGGTTTGCGCTATTTATAAAAATAATTCTGTTTTTGGTAATAATTCTCTTAATCCTGCTATTGTTTACAACTACTGCTCGATAAAAAAAGAAACGTTTCATAAAAAATCATTTTTTTTTTTTGTAAAGAAATCTTTTTTTTCTTTAAATTATGTTTCCTAAACTGCCCAAATTTTGTCCAAAACTATCTTCTCTAGTGGAGTAGTTTTGGATAAAGAGTAGCTTTGTTTTTAAGAAAAAAAAAGAAACTATAATTTTTTTGCACTAGTTTACCTTTTTTTATAGGATTATTAACTAAGTTTTTTTTTTCAGCAAAAATTTTAACTTTGTCAAAAAGTAAAAAAGCTTTGATATCTTTTTTCAAAAGGCGTCCTATTGTGCTCTTTTCTCCCCTACTCTATACAGTAAAAAAAATTACTTTGGTTTAAAGATGCAGGAAAGATAATTTACAACAATGCTATATAGATAATCTTATGTTTATATAAAGCCATTACTATTTTAATTATTTATAATAAATTTCACTTACATTAAATGCTTTAAATGTCATAGTGTTTGCAGATGACATAAACTTTTTTTTTTTGAACGAGGACATAAAAGTTTTATGTTCTATTATTGTTGATGAAAAATTGTTTAAATTTAATAAGTGGTTTGAAAGTAATATACTTATAACATTGAATGTAGATAAAATAAACTTTTTTAACTTTAAAAGCCTAGAAGAAATAATGCTCCTCTAAAATTGCTCTGCTAATTATTAAACAGTTATTAAAAGGGAGTTTACCGTTAATTTTCTAGTAGTAATTTTAGATGAAAATGGAAGCCTAATATAAAACAAATCGAATGTAATATCTCTAGAAACGTTTCCGTATTATATAGAACTAAAACATTTCTGAAACACTAAATTGTTGAAGAAAATATATCTTCTGTTCATTCATAGTTTATCTCTCACTGTAATATTGTATGAGGCAGAACTAGTTATAGCAAGCTTAAAAAAGCTTTTAGCAAGCAAAAACACGCCTGAAGGATTATACTTAGTGCACACAGAACTGTTCATAGCTTACCTCTTGTAAAGAACTGAATACAGAACTGTTCATAGCTTACCTCTTGTAAAGAGCTGAACACAGAACTGTGCTTACCTCTTGTAACACTTTAAATGTTTTACTTAAATTGTCTAATTTAAATTTTAAATTATTATCTTTGTTTTTCTTTGAACTAGTTTAAAGCTAAAGACTTACCAAATTCAATATGGTTGATCATTTTTATTGAATCATTTTTCAAAATGCTTGTTGCTTTAAGTTTTCTTTAATAAGTAAATTTTTTTAATAATTTAATAATTTAATATTTTTATTATAATAATTGAACATTTTTTTAAATTTAACTTTAATAAGTAAACATTTTTTTCTTTTACAACAATCTCGGATTGTTGTAAAAGGAAAAAACCAGCACGACCGTTGGCAGTTATTGCATGACAAATCATAACTGCATAATTTTTTATTAAATTGATTTTAACTTTTATCTTTAACACTATTATGAAATATTTAATATTGTAAAAACATGAATGCTGCACAGCGGTTCTTAATGATAGGTGCTAGTCATTTGCAATTTTCCTGGGTTTATAACTATTACACTGTTATTTTATGAAAATTGATAATAAATAACTTTTATACGTTATTAAGTTTTTTATATTTAAACTTCTTATTTTTTACCTCCTAGTGACAATTTATTACTTGGGGCTTGGGGGAAAGGGTCTAAAATTAGCCTAAATGGCGTGACGTACTTAACGGACGATCCCATAAAGAGTTACACTTTATTTTAATGTAGTTGGGGCACAGTGCATCGGACTTTTTTATTTTTAAATTGAGCAAAAGTTAAATTATGTATTTTTTATTTTTTTTTCAAGGCGAAAGGATTGAGATGTCCTTCATGATAAGAAATCACTAAAACCGAAATATTTATTATCTAACTGCTCACAGAGAGGTTTAAAGTGAGTTGTGTTACGTGATTCATTGTGTCCCAGTACTTGGGAACAGTGAATTAATAAAATCAGCTGTGAATTAATGATAGTGAATAGGGGCACAGCCAAATAACTTTGAGGCTGAGGGAATAAAGACACTGTACGGTATACACTTTTATTAATTAGATTAGTATAAAATCGAAAAAGTTGACATTTTGAAAATTAAGAAGGAAAAAAAAAAAAAATTTTATTGATAACAAAACATTTAAAAATTTTAAAAAATTAAAAACTTCAAATATTATTATTTATAAATTGAAACTAATAAATTCATTTTCATGTAGTTTGTTTGTTAAAAAATGCATGAAATTAATTTTTATGATCATTAATGGGCCATAGTGAACCAAATGATTCACTGTACCCCTATTAACTGTGCCCACCCTAACAAATTAAATTTAAGTTTAATTTCTTGGCACATAAGTGTTGTTAAAGAAAACGTTAAACTACTAAAAGGAAGCATAAACATCTATAATCCAAATAAAAAAATTTTAAACTATTTCAACCATGATCTCCATAACAAACAAAAGGAAAGTAAGAAAATTTACTTTAGTTGGCTAAAAACAAAAACCAGCTACCAAAAACAGGTATTCAAAAATTATGTTGTAACAACTATAAATAAAGATGGCTGATATATGAGCCCATAAAATGATTACATTATCAAAATAAAAAAAAATTTTATCTTCGAGAAAATGCCTTTTATTCACTGTGCCCTTCGATCCACTATACTCTAACTTCCCTATATAAAGCATATAAAAATATTTTTTAATGGATAAATAACTACAAATCATCCACTCATTTTTGCAAGTTCATAAATAATTGTCTTCGATAATTATGATTATTAATATGTTGTATTTTTATTAGCTTTGCTTGATTTAAAAATATATATAATTATGGCCAAATAGGATCTCTTTAGCTTTGTTTATTGTTGTTAAGTTCAAAATAAGATCAGCAAAATGGCTAGTCATATATTAGTGGTCTTTCTACTGTTGATATTTTGAATTTTGTAAATTTAATGGTTTGGCATGATTTAAAAATATATACAATTATGGCTAAAGAGATACTATTTGCTCTGATTGTACATATCTTTAAATCAAGCCAAACCATTAAAAATACAAAATTGAGAGTAACAACGGCAGAATGGGTTATCATGGCAAAACAAAACAAAAATAAAGAAGCAGCGAAAATACTGGATAATCTACCTGTGTCGAATTGAGCCAGAAGGAAATTTTTTTCTATGCCTGCACTTAAATACTATTTCACTTATTTTATTTAACAAGTTTAGATTTTTGAAGAATAAAGTTACTTTAAAAATTTGCATTATATTCATCTCATTATAGTTATTGTTGTCATCATTAGTCAGACCAAATTGGTAACTTACACATTAATAAATTGTTGCCATGGGAATAACGCAACCCAGTAGAATAATAAGCTTTCACTCTTTTAATAATGTAAGGTAACGCGGGGTTATATTGACAGGTGGGTAACATTGTGTTATTTTAAATTTTTTACCAGTCACTAGTTGATTATTGTTTAAACTATTTTAACCAATGCGAAAGTAATCTGTTGAATAAACAAATATTTTTATCCACATGGTTGTAAAAATAAATAACGATAAAATACGGCAAACACAAATTAAACTTCTACTTAATTTTTTAATGTTAAAAAACTTTACTAATAAGGCAAGTTAAACTCTACTAAAATATAGTTTTAAATAGATTTTTATGATGTTATTTCTAAATGCTAATCATTTAAAATCATTTTTTAATATTTTTTGTTTAAACCTTCATTTCGGTTTTGTGGTAACATTGACAGGAATATCA